TCCGCCACAGCTTCTGGAGGAGCGCCATCGAGAGATTCGGCCGCGCGAAAGTGAGTGGGTACCGGAGTTGAGCGAGATCGTTGATTTCTCCGCCACTGTAGACCACCCTGTTGAGCTCCGCCCGAACCGAGTAATTGAGGGGGTTTAGTTCAGGACCCCCGCTTAAATACTCCATCTTTTCCAGGTACTCAACGTTCTTCCATTCCAAGTAGGCGAAAGTTTTTCCAACGCCCTTCGATTAAATGTGTTGTCACCCAATCCTGTAGCAGTACAAAGTTTCCAAGAAGGTACGGGCGACGACATGTGGGGAGGATATTCTTCTCGAGTTGCTCGATGTAACCGCCAGTGCTCACCTTCAGTCCGTTGCCCGCGAAGAAAATATCGGTCTCCATCCAGGTACGGCCGGTCCACACCATCAACCCGCGCCTTGGTGAATGGGGTGAAGATGATGTCCTGGACCGTAGCGACGTTGCCGGAGCTGCGATGTTTGAGGTCTTGCAGATCAAGGGTACTGGTCTCCAGGTAGCTATGCCATGTTGATTCCATTCAAGAAGTTCCGCAGCTGTTTGGAGGCCACGTGAATTCCAAAGGCGTTCTCCACTCAGGCCGCGACTGGAGATGACTTCATATTTTGGTGTACATGAAGGTGAATGGCGGCAGCCGGCTCCTGCTTATAGAGGAAGATCTTGGGTATCTTCCGCCCTGGTACTCATATCCACTTCCTCTGTCTGGGCTGCGAAAACTTCGCTCATATGTGACTCGGCCGGAATGACTTTTTTTGCCCCCCCCCCTGTAGATTCAAGCTTTGTTTGGGCACCATTTGCCTTTCCCCAAAAACCTGAGGCACCCGTGGATGTTTGACGGTAAATCCAGATTGTGGTGGATGCCTAACCACAAGTGATGTCACATACCCGCCATTCGTAATGTGTCGCAAGTCAACTAGCCAGGAATTACTAGTGCTTTTTTCGTGCATCCGCCTCAACTGGATGTCAGCATCGCTTACCTGGTTATTGCAACTGCATAAACTAATGGGGACGAAAATCATTTAAGAATATAAAACTGTCCACCCACTCTGTATTGAACTCTCCATCACCGGCACACAATAACAAATGCCTAATAACATCACACATACTGCGAACATCGCGAAGTATTGCAGACGCGACGAGACAGCAAACTTTGAACATATTTGAAGAGCTAAATTTTCAATGTGAACAAGACGATTTTTTACGGGTTAGCAATCGATATTTCGTGGATCTTCTATGAAGAAGAGTAAGGAACTACATTAACATGATGATTCCACCTTATTAGCATCTTCTGTCCCGTAATTTCGTGGTCACCACGTCCCATTTGTTTCGGAGCGCCACTCAGTAAGGTACAATACATTCATGGTCGCAGCCTCCTAGCGTAAGTATTACGGCCTCGCACATTCCTAATGTGTACTACCATGCAATCGTAGGAAGGAAGAGGCAAATGGGTCCACCATGCGTGTGACCAGGGGGTCAAATCGGGTCCACCCACCCCCCGCTTGCAGGAATGAAAAACTGGGCTACCCAAGGCAAGAGCCGATTACCTATTTGACCTTTGAACTGCGCGCATTGTAGACAGTGCCACTTTCTGCTGCACTACATCCACTTTGCACCTATAGCGACCTCCAACCGTTCAACTGCGACTGTATTCTGCTATTAATCAGGCTATGTCTTGACTAGGTGAAAAAAATTCAGAACGGGTCCGTTAAAATATAGGAAAATCCTCACCCAACGATCCATTCGATCAAATTTTCCAATGTCGGAACACAGACTGCCTCCGTAAGCACTTAAGCACTTCTTCAACATGAGCTGAGACCTTTAGAAGCTCCGCGTTCAAGTCGACAACCATCTGAAATCGAATAAAATAAATTTGAAACTTGAAACAGGATTCAGTAGACTATACTAAATCCTACCTGTGAGTCTTCGATATTGTACAATTTCAACAGATCCACAAATTCCCCAGTTACTGTAGCGATGTCAGTTCGAAGAAGACGGACTAATACACCTTGTTTCACTACTTCGCGGCATAAACGTGGGCTAAGATCTGGAGATGAAGGAAAGCTGACGCTGAAGTTTGACTCCCAGATCTCACCTAAAAATATGACATTTGGTAAGCCGAAAACCAAATATAGAAAGGTTAGCGGCGCTAACGCAGCTGGAGGTGGACCACTTGCACAGTGACTCTTCCCCCAACCCAAGTTGAGAGTCACTGGGGTTTATGTCTTCTCTGGCGGTGGAAAGCAGCCGCTTACCACGGGCCCGATTCGGAGGTCATTCTCGGAACGGCTCTCGCCCTAACCAAGCAAGTCTTCTATCTTCCGGGAGCGGTGAATTATTACCAGATGCGTCTGGGAGGATAGGAACACTGAACTGTACATCCCTGTCCCCGCAAGTAATCGTATAGGCCATATAATATTTAGAATGCCACTATGAATCTTACCATTAGTGAAAACAGAATGCGTACCGCTAAAAAGGACTGATCAACGGTCAAATAAAGTATCTATCCTGTACCCTTTTTATTTT